GTCATGGACTAAAGTAAAACAGTATGTTGGATGTGCCACACAATGCTCAATTACATGGGTGGGAACTAGTGTGTTAGCGCAGTTAGCTCGTTAACGTGTTGGCAGTCCAGCCCCACGCACGGGGCGATCGGCGGTAGCTCGTTAATGGAGATTTGCCGTGTTGTGGTGTTAACGTCATTTCAACGAGATTAACGCTGACAGCACTAGTGGGAACACAACGAATATGACTGCACATTTACGCCGACATAATCCTAGTGCAAAATCAAGTGGAAGCAGACAAAAAACAACAAGCACGCATGCTACAAACTTTACCAGAGTAAACATTGCACTCTATTACATTTTACACAGCTTTTTGGGGACGCAATTTGGGTTGTACATTTAGCATTCAAGAATATACTTTAATACAATGCACATGATTCTCCTTATGGGGACCTGATATGTTTAATATGCTGCAGAGAATATAGTCCAGAAGAAGCGTATAGTATAGCTTTTATTTTGGAAAGAGCCATTTCTCTGTAATAAACTCTTTTCCAAAGATGAGTGATTCCTCAATCAGATACAGGGCTCGCAAAATCACTAGCCCGACGTCCTGGGGCTAGCGATTTTTCCAGTCGGGCTACCAAAATCTATCTCTGCCCTGCCCGTCGGCCTATCATAGGAAGGAAAAATATATGTCAATGCTTTTGCATTCTTTCGGAAATGTAGCTGGGTAATTATGTCATTGGCATCGGTGAGCCACTGTCAATATGTGACCTATTGAAATCGCGTTTGAATTTGCGCTTGTTTTTTTGCTTTCACTTTGCAATCGCGCGAACTGTGTATAGAGAGCGACAGCACTGATTGGTGAGTGATAATAATTTGCGCACCAACTACAGTGGGGCAAAAAAGTATTTAGTCAGCCACCGATTGTGCAAGTTCCCCCACTTAAAATGATGACAGAGGTCAGTAATTTGCACCAGAGGTACACTTCAACTGTGAGAGACAGAATGTGAAAAAAAAAAAAAATCCATGAATTCACATGGTAGGATTTGTAAAGAATTTATTCGTAAATTAGGGTGGAAAATAAGTATTTGGTCACCTCAAACAAGGAAAATCTCTGGCTCTCACAGACCTGTAACGTCTTCTGTAAGAAGCTTTTCTGTCCCCCACTCGTTACCTGTATGAATGGCACCTGTTTGAACTCATCATCTGTATAAAAGACACCTGTCCACAGCCTCAAACAGTCAGACTCCAAACTCCGCCATGGCCAAGACCAAAGAGCTTTCGAAGGACACCAGGAAAAGTATTGTAGACCTGCACCAGACTGGGAAGAGTGAATCTACAATAGGCAAGCAGCTTGGTGTGAAAAAAATCAACTGTGGGAGCAATCATCAGAAAATGGAAGACATACAAGACCACTGATAATCTCCCTCGATCTGGGGCTCCACGCAAGATCTAATCCCGTGGGGTCAAAATGATCATGAGAACGGTGAGCAAAAATCCCAGAACCACACGGGGGGACCTGGTGAATGACCTGCAGAGAGCTGGGACCAAAGTAACAAAGGTCACCGTCAGTAACACACTACAACGGCAGGGAATCAAATCCCGCAGTGCCAGACGTGTTCCGCTGCTGAAGCCAGTGCATGTCCAGGCCCGTCTGAAGTTTGTCAGAGAGCACATGGATGATACAGCAGAGGATTGGGAGAATGTCATGTGGTCAGATGAAACCAAAGTAGAACTTTTTGGTATAAACTCAACTCGTCGTGTTTGGAGGAAGAAGAATACTGAGTTGCATCCCAAGAACACCATACCTACTGTGAAGCATGGGGGTGGAAACATCATGCTATAGGGCTGTTTTTCTGCCAAGGGGACAGGACGACTGATCCGTGTTAAGGACAGAATGAATGGGGCCATGTATCGTGAGATTTTGAGCCAAAACCTCCTTCCATCAGTGAGAACTTTGAAGATGAAACGAGGCTGGGTCTTCCAACATGACAATGATCCAAAACACACCGCCCGGGCAACAAAGGAGTGGCTCCGTAAGAAGCATTTGAAAGTCCTGGAGTGGCCTAGCCAGTCTCCAGACCTCAACCCCATAGAAAATCTGTGGCGGGAGTTGAAAGTCCGTGTTGCTCGGCGACAGCCCCAAAACATCACTACTCTCGAGAAGATCTGCATGGAGGAATGGGCCAAAATACCAGCTACTGTGTGTGCAAACCTGGTAAAGACCTATAGTAAACGTTTGACCTCTGTTATTGCCAACAAAGGTTATGTTACAAAGTATTGAGTTGTATTTTTGTTATTGACCAAATACTTATTTTCCACCCTGATTTACGAATAAATTCTTTACAAATCCTACCATGTGGATTCATGGATTTTTTTTCACATTCTGTCTCTCACAGTTGAAGTGTACCTCTGGTGCAAATTACTGGCCTCTGTCATCATTTTAGGTGGGGGAACTTGCACAATCGGTGGCTGACTAAATACTTTTTTGCCCCACTGTATGTCCTCTGACATCGTCTTATCATTTGTTAGCTTACTATGCAAACATGACAAGTGAAATCTCCCGCAGCAAGCTTAAACATGTGAGAGGTTGATCGCGCAGAGAATCGCTGAGCGTTATGTGAGTGCGTGTGTAAAAGCAGCAGGATATATATTTTAGTTCTGCTGAGCCAAATAAGACAGGTCAGGGTGAAGAAGTGACAGCCAAAGAAAAGCTTACCGCAAAACGGAAAAGTTATGACAAATCAGACTATAAGGCAAAAATAAAGTGCAGCTTTATGGTTTCATGGACAAAGAATTTCTGTGGCTGCAATATGACGAGCTAAATAACCAGGGGTGCACATAAGTGGTCCGCAGGTGTGCATTCGCTGTCAAAATAAAAAACGCGCACAAGATAAGAAGTTGCAACGCGTGTTTGCGTACATAAGATTTTCTGGAGGAGGACAGACATTTGTTTAGAACTCTTAAAGATGTCGAAGAAACAAAATCCTTTAAGCAATTACTTTGGTGTTCCTCCACCTCCAAACAAATGTCAGAAGGAGTGCGCGTATTCTCGGAAAAGTGGTTGCAGGAGGTGAGCTGGCTTCAAACAAATGATGAACGCACAGAGATGTGGAGCAGAATGTGCCGTGAAAATCCCACTCTAGCGGACAAAAACAGTGCCTTTTATATGGACGCAAACGCGCGTTGCAACTTCTAATCTGGTGCGCATCTTTTATTTTGACAGCGAATGCGCACATGCGGACCACTTATGTGCACCCGTGTAAATAACAATGTTCTGCCGGGTGTGTCGTTGGTTTTCCCTCGATTTCTGAGTCGACAAGCGCCTTTGTTACTGGCACCAGTCATTTTAAGAAAGGCCCCCATTAGAACCCATGAGAAATGAAAGAAATGCATTACTGCTTAGTCTGCAATATCTTTCCCAGAACAAAACACCAATTGCAAACTAAAAATAAACCTGAAAAATCTGTTTAGAACAGCATACTATGTTGCAAAGAGTGAACTACCACTGGCAAAATTTAGCAGTCTTTGCAAACTTCAAAAAGCAAATGGCCTAGATCTTGGTTCCACTTGCCTCTTACCCGTGACTTCAGTGGAAATTTCAAATTCAGGATCTGACAGACTGATTCATGTCCTACACAGTTCTTACAAGTTCGTAGAAATTTCTGTTCAATTAGAACCAAGTATTTGAGTTGATGTTTGTAATTTTTATACAATGTTGTAATTTGTGTTTCAACAATTTTTTGATTAATGTTTTGTTTCCTTTACAATATTATACTTTAATGTATAATATTGTAAAGGAAACAAAACATCAATCAAAAAAATTGCTCTTTTTTTTATTCTGGCTACTTAAATTTATTTTGGGCGAATTTTGTGTATCGTTGCACCCTTAGTTTTCGGATATGTCTGTTACCCACCAGCTCGATAGCTAGCCGGGGTTCAAGGCTCACTAGAGCCGGTGAGAACACCAAACTCCCAGAAAATCGTTTTCAAACCCACTGTGTTTGGCTTTTTTCAGTATTTTATTTGTTCCTGAGTAAATTGGTTTGGCTGAGATTAAAGTTAGTTTTTACACAGCAGAATAAACATCAAGCAGACAACTGCTTATCAGAAGTGTGAGATGCTCGAGAATATACTCCGGTGTCCTGTTATATTTTAGATAGCAAGGAGCAGACGGCTGAGTTTATTAAACTCCACCGAAACAATCTGCAAATTTAATTAAAATTTTATAAACTAACATCTTGTCTTTATTTTTAGTTAGCACATAACTTAAACACTTAAAGCTGTAATCTAATGATAGTTAGATAAGAGCAGATGCATGCTGGTGCAATGAGCTGTACATTTTACATCCAATGGATGCATGATCTGATTAGTCGACTAATCGCAAAAATAATCGGTGACTAGTCGACTATCAAAATAATCGTTTGTGGCAGCCCTACCTACCTACTGCTAATACTACACAGATTTAGCACATGTGCTCATTATTTGTACAAAAAAGGTCCAGCAGAGAAGGGAAAAGCTCAGTTTGATGTGCTTTGGAAGGATCTGTACAGCTAGTAAAACTCACCTGTAAACACTGAGGATTTAAAAGGAGAATGCTCCTACATGAATCCCAGAGATTCATGTTGGATAATGCCATGAACACAGTGTCCTCTACACTGCTACTCATATCACTAAATTTAACACTGACATAGTGACAGGACTATGCAACAGCTACGCTTCAGTGTATGAAAACTTGACATCTAACAGGAATTACAAGTCAAATTAAAGGACGATGGTGGCAGGCACCATCTGAGAAACCTGATACCAACTGTCCAACTAGCTTACTCATTAGCACATTCTGAAAGATGTCAAACTGCAATTACAGTTACAACCAACAGTGATGGAAGATTTTTTCTCCCTCCTACAGAAGTGTTAAATGTCAATTGTTTTCTATCAAACAAGGCACTTTTTATAGTTACAATGTTTAATATAAAAAATGTCACTGGTCAAGACAAACATGGAGAAAAGTATCTCACCACTGTCCTCTGTTTGTTGGGGAGGTAGACTCGGATGGTTCCTCCACCTCGGGGTGGATCCTCTGGACTGGTCTCCCCTGAGGAGGAGTAGGAGGAGGAGGTGGAGGACATGGTGAGAGGCAGGAGGGAATTGGGGGAGGGCAGGGGGGGAAGGGAAGACACAGTACTTGGACACCAAAGCCTCAGGAGAGCTTCATGCACAGTGGGGTCCAGAGGAGTTTTGCCCTTTACCTAGAACCTACACAAACACAAAAAGAATATGAAAAAGTGCACATAGGTATGATAAAATTGATAACACACAGACTTTAACTACTTTTATAAACATTAATAGGTAATTAATGTTAGAAGAATACTACAAATACGTTTTTGGTCGCTCTCTTTAGGGGTTGTACAGCAGAAAATCTACCTCCGATAACCCTTCCCTAGCATCCTCATCTATCACACGAACCCTCTGTACCCCTCTCCTTCACAACATCCCCAAACCTTCCTCTTTTCCTCCTTGTCTAGAAGATCAGTCTTCAACATCCTGTGTTCACCATCACTCCTCTGCACATATCCAAATCAACTCAGCCTTGGCCAACTTTGTCTTCAAACCGCTCAACCTGAGGTGTCTCTTGGATGCACTCATTTCTAATTTTGTCCATCATAGTCACTCCTAATGAAAATGTTAACGTCTCCAAACTATACATCATAGCAGCTCTCACTACCATCTTGTAAACACCTTTCAATCTTGCTCCTGTCCTTCTGTCACGAATCTCCCCTGGCACTCGTCTTCCCCCTCTTTTACCATTTCTTTTGGATAAAAATCAATTAAATTAGTAAGAGGGAGTGCTATTTTCTGTCTCAACTACTGTACAACACGCTAGTAAAAACTTTAAAGTTTAAAAATCACATACTTTAAAGTGTTGTTGAAAATAACAGTTGTTTGATTAACCCAAACACTGAAACCTCGCGAAAGCTTTTTCCTGAGTTTTGAATTGTCCCATATACCGGTTAGCTTGTAATCCAGTGGCACCAACAACTAAGGTGTTCGCAAAGTGGCCTACAGGAGCAAGAACTAACTTTTTCTAAACGTTGTAGCTCATATTTGAGACCGGGCGAGCTTGGAATTAACATTGAAACAAACCGCTGACAAACAAAGTTGCACATTTGGTTAACAGCCGAAAGATGCTAACGCTAGCTCATATTAGCCCGGTAGCCTAGCATGGGATTCGACTGCCTTGTAAAATGACATTTCGAGTTTGGGGAAGCCATGTTCCTCTTGGAGCGCGAGTTAATTGTCTCCGGCTAACTAGCTGACTGCCTTTCAAGGTAATTTGTAGTAAGGAGGTGCGAAGCGATATAATAAAAACATAATTCCTACAAAGCAAAGTAATCAGAGTTTTCGGAAATTCCTCTTCGCTCAACCAGCTAGCAAACTAGCATAGCTAAGCATTAGCATTAGTTGGAACGGGAGAGATTATGTGGCTGCTTCAGTCACTAGCGCAGTTTACAGTTAAAAGCTTTAACGCGAGTCCCAGCCTGCTAAGGTTAGCAAACTTAGGGGTTTTACCACGGCGTCAGGCTGGTGCCTACTTAAGAGTCTCTTTTCAGATATGCAGCGAATAATTTCCTTGACATGCTCAACACAGGACGGTCCAGATTGTGCTATGCAGTGCTTACGGTGACAGCAAAATCTCCTTTCGTCTCAGTGTTCTGAAACAGTTGGGATAAATAAAAAGTTAAACTCGTACCTGTAACGGCCATCTTGAATTCTCGCAATCTGGAGGCGAATCTGTCAAGAACTTCAGGGGAAAGCGGAAAAACTCCATAAATGCTCTGTGCTCATTGGTCAACTTCTGTAGGCGCGTTCTTTCATTGGACAGAAGCTGCAATCCAAACGGTGGGAGCTGCTGTGTAACGACACACATGTATACTACAGCAAGAGTATAGACACCTGTGATTATTGTTCAGCGTTAAAACCGGTGGAAATGACAAATGTTAATCTGTTTTTTAATTATATTTTGATCACGAGTAAATTAATTAATTTAAAAAACTGTTACAAGATTGTACTAGGGTTACTGACACAAGTATAAATGCATACTAGTGCACTGTTCAGACACTTGACACATATTTGCGGATGTGTCATTTTGGCAAATTGGTACTGAAAAAAGGATGAAAATCTCTGTGGTGAAATATAACTTTAAGGAGAGAGAGACAAAGGGTGAGAAAAGAGAGGAAAAAAGCACACACAGGCGGAATACATGTTATGGTTTAATCTGAAAGAGACAGGAGACTGTAGTGGCAGGGGAGAATGTAGTTAAGGTAGCAGTCTGCAGAACGACTTCAGACATCAAAAAGAGGAAGTGAGCAAAGGCAGAGGCAAGACACAGCAGGTCCAGCTGGAGGTGGCAGATGCGAAGTCGAGGATGCGAAGGTTTTCACTGGAATGATCAGAGTGGATAGGATTAGAAAGGAGTACATCAGAGGGGCAGCTCAGGCTGAGCGGTTGGAAGACCAAGTTAGAGAAGCAAGGCTGAGATGGTTTGGACATTTACAGAGTGACGGCAGATATGTTGGACAAAGAATGTCAGCCAGGAGCAGAAGGCAAAGACCCGAAGGCAGATTGGTGTATATATATATATATATATATATTTTTTTTTTTTTTTTTTTTTTAAAAAGAGACTCATTGCAGATCAAGTAAACTCTTTATTATAAAACAGCATAAAAAAGTTAGAATAACCATATAGAATGCAATGCTTTATACTGTATATATAACCCTACAAATAGGGTTGTCATAAAAAACAGGGCTCAATCTACTTGAGCTCAGCTGTCCTATTCATCACTGTAGACATCCATAGCTGTTGACTACACTTGGACTTGTCATCCCTCGTTATGCTCCTTTAACAAAAATCACATATTATTTTATAATTCCAGATGATGACTCAGTTCCTATTCAATGCTAAGGAATCTTCTTTTCTTCGCTGTGTGTGTATATGCGTGGTGACGCCACTCCACATCTGCGGTGACCTCGTTCTCCAGGGTTCCCAGTTTGATCATATACACTAAATAGAAAGAGGACGTGGTGTTAATATTTAACGAGCCCAAAGAAAATTTGTACAGAGCAGAGGATAGTAATCCATTTTTTCTACAACTGGAGTTTCCCCTGATGCTCTTACTTCCAATCAGATCAAAATATCTTTTTTCTTCCTGGTGTTGCACATTAGTATCCAATACATTACACAACACACAATACACTGATTTATATTAAAAATTGAAGCTACATATTTTTACTATACATTTTTAAACTTCCAAAAAAGTTTAGACTACATGTACATAAAAACTGTAGAATGTAAATTTCATGAAAAATACTAAAGCAGCAATGGCACCAACATACCTCAAAAACTTGGGAGGTGGAAAGAAAGTGGTAACCGTATGAATTGGCAACAGCTCAGTAATATGAATGGGTATAAAAAGAGTTTCTCAAAAGTACAAATGGGCAGAGGTTAACCAATCAGAACAACTCTGTGTCTGCCATGGATGGCTGTGATGTTCGGGCCCGGAGGCTGCACTGCATTATGCAGCATGATTCTCATGAATATGACTGCACATGCTCGGCAATGCTTTCAGAAATCATAGTCAAACTAATCACAATTTGAAACAATTTCCACCAGACTAAATTGGACTAAAACACACCATGTTGTTTTAATCCTTAAATCAGGTGTAAATTGCTTTGATGTAATTTTGTAAACCTTTCATTGATCACAAGAAATCCCTCTACTACTGTAAGGACAGCAGCCATGCATTGTCTAGGGTTTTTATTGTGAAAGGTAAAGACAGGAAAAAAAAGTCTTTCTCCTATGTATAAAACAAATCAGATTTCTGCTATAGATCAAGTAGTGACAGATGGAAAAACAAAGAATTTCCAGAGAAGATATAACCACGTCAACAATGGTTAATTCAGTCTCTGAAGAGTGGTAACTTTCCATACTTACATTTCATTTCAAACCTGGGCCCTACTTCCGTCAGCTGTATGTTCTTGTGGTCTGTTTTCTTATAGGTGTGATGTCTGTTAAAAATAAATGCATCATATCTTACTCTTTAACCCAAATAGCATTTTGTTTATATGAATTTTCACTTTTGATGCTCACCTGAAAGAGATGAAGTCTTCTTGGTTGGCGAATGTGATCACACGCCTGCTGTCCTCCTTTGGCACTGGAAAAAGATACTTGAGGATATTGGATACCTGCGTGAGTAGAATTAATTAGTTGTACACACAAACAAGCGGTGAGAAAGAATATCCAAGGCATGTGCTGTCCAGCACTCACTCACCCTCTTGCCGAGCCGTGAGGTGAAGTTGTGAAAAATGAGGTGGGGGTAGGCCTCAGACATGGTGCCTATGTCGGGAACATCGTGCCTCATTACCACGTTGTAAAGAGTGAAATAAGCTGTTGGGCCAAATGGCAAATGGCACACCACCAGGCCATCTGTAAATATATAAGAACAAACAAAACTAAGCAAAATAACAAATATTATGGTCAATACTGAGAGTTAAACAAAAACCCAAAACACTCCATTATAAATTTTAAAAGTGCAGAGTTTTCATATTGGTAAAGAAACTGTGTTTGTTTCTCTAGTGTTGACCTAACGTGAAGACTATAGGGCAGCTAGAATGAAGAAAAAAAAAAAAAACAGCAATGCACATGTGCAATGGATGTATGAACAAGCTGTACAATGTGGTCTGAAACCACCAACCAGTTTTAGCACTGTTGGTGGATGTTGTGCATACAGAACACAAAACTACATAGTCCTTTATACCCCATGAAAGCTGAGTGGGAGTAACCATTAAAGCTCTTCTGAACTGAATGTTTCTGTCATATTTGAGCCTGCCTGTAGAGCAAAATGACTGAGTGTGGGGTTAATGAGGGTGGACTTTGCAGCAAAATGAATAAGTGAATAAAGCAAGTATACCTGGCTGTCCTCTTGTCTCATGCACGATGACGAGGTCGGTAACACTGTTAGCTTTGCAGGCTTGTACCAATGCAGGGATCTCATGATTTCCTCTGTTCATTCGCTGGGCCCCAGGGAACATCAACTTTACCTCCTGGAATCACATACAAGATGGGATTCGTGTATTATTGTCAACTCAATTTTTAATGGTCATGGTCTACACTGCTTTTTTTTTTTAAATATATAAAACCCGAACCCCAGGTTGTTATCAATAGCTGGGGCAGCGCCTTATACAGCATCACTGTCTGTATTTGTGCAGCTAAAAGAGAGCAAAAACTTCAGAAGACAGAAGAGTTTACCACCGACCACAAGCCTCAAGAAAAACTCAGAACTACAGCAAGGCATGCAATATGTGGCCAAATTAGGAAAAGCAGCGCAGAAGAGGTGTGTGCATGTCAGGGAGCAGTGACAAAGTGTAAAAAGTCACACATCTGCACAGATCACAAACTCACTAAGGCTACATCTACACCGGATGAATTTGAAAACTGTGTTTTCGTCTAAAAACGCTCCGCATCCACACTATGGTTTTCACAGAGTTGTTTATCCACACTGAAACAACCTAAAATGCTTACATTCCAGTACTGCGCATGTGTGTAAAGTAAGATGATTCGACCTGTGTCATTTCTGTCTGCCATTTATTTACTTTCCAGCCCTTTGAAACATTGTGGCAAAATGTCGAGGAAAAGCACCAAGTTTTTTTAAATGGACTGACAATGAGGTGGAGTTGTTGCTGTGAGTAACACGAGAGTACAAAGTTGCAAAAGCGAGTGAGAATTAAAGAATTTGAAGAAAAGCTATCTGAAGCATGTACAAACTGATATTAATCTTTAATAGGGCTGTCAAAATTGAGAGCAAACAAAACAACTGCTGTATAATTAAGATAGGCCACCACTATTTTAGTTTAATTGGTCATCATATGACTAAAGTGTGTCGCTTTGGAGAGCATTTTCAAAAAGCTCAGTTTTCCTTGACCAAAAACGCCATCTGTGGACGGACGGCCAAAACGGAGAGAAAAAGATGCGTTTTCAAACGAAAACGTATTAGTGCGGACATGGCCTAAAGCACATAATACAAATCACTATGGGGTCTGACAAACTACCCAAATCTGTCAGAACTAAAGCCCCTTTTCCATTAGTATCTACTTAGCATGGCTCGCCACAGTTTTCAAGGTTTTCCATTTAGGTCACAGTACCTGGCAGCAGGTACTTTTTTAGTATCTGCTTGCCCTGGGTTCCAAACGATCTGAGCAGGTACTAAAATGTGATGTCGTCAGGCTGCATGCCACCGATTGGCTGGTCAGTAGTGTCACTTGATGAGTCATGACAGTATCTCATTCACGAACATCAGAACCGCCACTTTGGAATCCCAGTAACAAGGGAAATAACTACAAAAAACAACACTGTGGTCCCCTGAGACTGGCGAAAAGTCACAGACCGAGCAGTGGGTATGTTCTTGCCTCGGTGTACACCTTTGCTGTAGCGTCCGTGTCACATAGTAATTACTTTGTGGGACGCTTGGATGCTTTGCTATGACGACAGCCATGCATAACAGGTACTATCCGAATGTAATGGAAAACCAGTCAATCCGAGTCGAGTCGATCCGAGTAGGTGCTAATGGGAACGGGGCTTATGAGTCCAACTAGCACCATGTAGCCACTTACAGGAGGCAGCTGTCATTTCAATTTTATTAATATATCACACTTGCTGTTTCATGCCATCTATTACTTTTTATTACAATATGTTTTTGCTATTTCTACAATATCTGCATATGATACTGTGGTCAACAAGAACCTATTAATCTGAACAATCCACCTTTTTTCCTTAACCTCCTAAGACCCGAACTCTTTCATGGCATGCATTTTTTCTCTTTGCTATTGTGAGTCACAATTAAGTAATGATGTGCAAAACTCTTTATTTGGTGTCTGAACACAGCAGCATTTTTCTTGAGTACAAAAACAAAATGAGAAACAACAACTGTGCCACTGTATGGCTAATTTGAAAGAGCAAAATTTTGTATTGTGGTCTAACCCAAAATGTGATGTCCACATATGTGGACGCCAGGTCCTAGGAGGTTAAGGCCTAGCTTTACTACGCGTTTTCACATGTTAAATGGCTCACTTGTCTCTCCTTTTCACTCAAACAAACAACAGACTAATGGAAACACACACACACGTTCAAATCAAGCCGACAGACAGAAGCACCCTTCATCCTTTTTTCTCTTTTTGAGTGTAGCTGCTCCCTACACAGACAATCATTTCAGAAGGGGGCAGATATTCAATTTAATTTCAATCAATTTTTATATATATTACTGTAAGGTAAATATAGCTCCTACAATAATACAGAGAAATCCAAAACAATCAAATAATCCCTTATGAGCAAAAACTTGGCGAAAGTGGGAAGGAAAAACTTCCTTTATACAAGAAGAAACCTGTGGCAGGACCAGGCTCAAGGAGGGGCTAGAGAATTGTTGGATTAAAAATTAGTTGTATCCTTCAAAGAGTTTTGAAGCCTGTCAATAAGCCTGCATATCAGTATTTTTTACATTTTAATGCAAATGTCAACAAAAGCACCATGTAACACCATATTTCTAAGTTAGCACTATCTGTGCTATTTATCTTTTCATTCACAGAACTCCATTTAAATTCTTTAATACTGGACCTCCCTTGGTTTTAGACCAGGGCTCGCAAAATTTCAAATCCCCGGTAGCCCTTCGGGCAGGGACGCTTCAGTTTTTGGTAGCCCAAAATAAATTTAAGTAGCCCGAATAAAAAAGAGAGCAATTTTTTGATTGATGTTTTGTTTCCTGTTTTGTTCTGTTACAATATTACAATTATACATTAAAGTATAATATTGTAACGGAAACAAAACATTAATCAAAAAATTGTTGAAACACAAATTACAACATTGTATAAAAATTACAAACATCAGCTTAAATACTTGGTTCTAATTGAACAGAACTTTCTATGAACTTGTAAGAACTGTGTAGGACATGAATCAGTCTGTGTCAGATCCTGAATTTGAAATTTCCACTGAAAAACTGGTCCCAGTGACAAAGGCACTTGTCGACTCAGAAATCGAGGGAAAACCAACGACACACCCGGCAGAACATTATGTTATTTACACGGGTGCACATATGTGGTCCGCATGTGCGCATTCGCTGTCAAAATAAAAGACGCGCACCAGATTAGAAGTTGCAACGCGTGTTTGCGTCCATATAAAAGCACTGTTTTTGTCCGCTAGAGTGGGATTTTCACGGCACATTCTGCTCCACATCTCTGTGCGTTCATCATTTGTTTGAAGCCAGCTCACCTCCTGCAACTACTTTTCCGAGAATACGTGCTTCTTTTGTGGTTCGGACTCCTTCTGACATTTGTTTGGAGGTGGAGGAACACCAAAGTAATTGCTTAAAGGAGCTTGCTTCTTCGACATCTTTAAGAGTTCTAAACAAATGTCTGTCCTCCTCCAGAAAATCTTATGTACGCAAACACGCGTTGCAACTTCTTATCTTGTGCGCGTTTTTTATTTTGACAGCGAATGCGCACCTGCGGACCACTTATGTGCACCCCTGGTTATTTAGCTCGTCATATTGCAGCCACAGAAATTCTTTGTCCATGAAACCATAAAGCTGCACTTTATTTTTGCCTTATAGTCTGATTTGTCATAACTTCTCCGTTTTGCAGTAAGCTTTTCTTTGGCTGTCACTTCTTCACCCTGACCTGTCTTATTTGGCTCAGCAGAACTAAAATATATATCCTGCTGCTTTTACACACGCACTCACATAACGCTCAGCGATTCTCTGCGCGATCAACCTCTCACATGTTTGAGCTTGCTGCGGGAGAGTTCACTTGTCATGTTTGCATAGTAAGCTAACGATTGATAAGACGATGTCAGAGGAATTGGTGCACAAATTATCATCACTCACAGATCAGTGCTGTCGCTCTCTATACACAGTTCGCGCGATTGCAAAGTGAAAGCAAAAAACAAGCGCAAATTCAAACGCGATTTCAATATGTCACATATTGACAGTGGCTCACCGATGCCAATGACATAATTACCCAGCTACATTTCCGAAAGAATGCAAAAGCATTGACATATATTTTTCCTTTCTATGATAGCCCGACGGGCAGGGCAGAGATAGATTTTGGTAGCCCGACTGGCAAGATCGCTAGCCCCGGGACGTCGGGCTAGCGATTTTGCGAGCCCTGTAGACGTTGTTCTATATTTGGAAATTATAAAACATCTCTTTCAATTTTTCATGCGTTTCCATTTTTCATCTGTAATATACAGAAACATCTCTGAAAACTATGAAGAACCAGGGTTGAAATAACTGCACATGCCATTAAATATGTGCTGTAGTAAATGTTTTGTGTTAATTCTGTCATTGAGGTTTTAGATGCCTCTACGTGCTTGTGCTCAGAAAGTGATCTAACCTTGGCAAACATTTTGAGCCTGGAGCTTGGGTCTCTGGATGTAGTGACCATGACTTTAGGATCTTCTACTCCAGCCCATTTATACTCATCATCCACATGAGAGCTGACACCTGCGCGCACAAGAAAACACCAAAATTTATGAGTGAACAAAATGTGAGGAAAACTGACAAAATGCTGCTGATAGTAAGAATTCACGACACTTGCCTTCTGCCCCTTCGTCGTCATACTCCACTAGTTTCTGTAGCTCAAGAGCTTCTTTGCGTATCTCAGTGGGAAGGAGATGATTTTCTGCAGAGAAGTAAAAGATGTTTTACTTCTGTGTGGTCAGAGCATTTTGGTGCCAACTCTGGTCAAGCAAAATGTAGTTGGAAAAAGGATCTTAATGATCACGCCAACCTACCGTCGAGGGCACCCTTCAGCTTCTGCTTTTTCTCCTCTATTGTTCGGAGCCTGTCCTCCTGTGCCTTCCTGTACAGGTACTCCCGCCTCAGTCTCACCTCTCGACGCAGCTACGCAAACATTACACCAAATTACTCCAAAGACAGGCCTCTTAACATAATGACATTACCTTGCAAAATGACATTTGCCACAATATCTGAACATGTCTACACATCTCACACAACTTAGGAAAAATGGGTAAGGGACTTTGTCGAAAGTTAGTGAGAAAACAAGACGAAATTAGAAATAACTTATAATCGTAAAAACTTAATACATAATGGCAGACACATAAGTAGAAAGACTGAACATATCTGAACAGGTCTATGCTTAAATCTTCCTACAGTAAAAATTTTACTTAAGTAAAAAAAAGATAATTTAAATTGAATTAAGGTCACTTTGGACTGGTTCTTATATAACACTAGTTAACTTGAGCACTTAAAGTGTTTCATAACTCGAGCTTCAGCATCTTGCCCAAGGATACGTTGTCTGGACTGGAGCCAGGGATCAAACCGGCAACCTTCTGATTTGTAGAAGACCTGCTCTACTTCCTGAGCCACAGCCACCCCATATAATTAAGGATCTAAAAGCAGTTACTCTAACTTGGAGAAATTTTAAAATGAGGAAGCCACTAACAATTCACTCAGCTCATTAACCTGGATTAAAAGGAATGAAAAGTAGCGCAATAATAGCAGCAACTTCATATAACCCCCTGGAGTTGGGAGTTAAACCCAAGACACTCTTTTTGGAATTAAAAAACAAAACAAAAACAGATGCTGATTTTACAACGACTAAAAGTGCATTGTGATTGTTACTGTTCTAATTTTAACATTCAATCCAGTCCCTTTCTCCGTAGACTTACCCAGTAATTTATTTATACAAATGACTTCAAATGACACTGATGAACAGACTCCTTAAACTGAGAAGAACAGAAGAGTCTGTGGATTTATTTCATTAAACTCTGTGACATAAATGATTAAACAATTCTCAAAAACCCTGGCATTTGAACATAAACCCCACTTTATCTATGTTCTATTTTCAAGGTACACAGACATAAAAGTTCAGTTACAAAAAAAAAAAAGCACATACAGTGTCCCGTTAATTCACATTTAATAACCTACAGGGGTTCTCCCTTCACTGTTCTGTGTCTGGCAATCAAGATTGTATCTTCATCAGTCACATTTTAATGACACATTTGTGAGAATTCACTAAAGGTTACACGTAATTCTCAATTATTTCTTTCTGACACTCCTAAAGTGAGCACAAAATGTCATATTTCTGAGAGCTGCTATCTTTGTTTTGATTAGAAAACTCACGCTTCTTGACCAACGAGCAATTTTTTTTTTCACTCATTACATAGGCTTCGTGGGTTTATTTTTTCCCAGTTATACACCAGCCTGTGACGATACAGAAAACGCAGTTGGAACGAAATAAAGCGTTTAAACAGTACTCTAGTATTTCAACATTACCAGTTACAGAACTTTACTGCTGTGCTCTATGGCTCTATGTGAATGCGTGCTAACACTCGGATGGGGAAATGCGCTCGGTACATCCGCCTTGAGCCTGGCTTCTGTGTCAGCTTCGACCTCTACAATCTCCTTTTGGTATCAAACTAAAACACAAATTAACGCTCGCACAAACCTTACAATTTTTTAACTTACCATGATGTGTTTATTGCTAGTAGCTAACCCACGCTACTCACGTGGACACGGAGAGAGAGACGAGCCTACAAAAGTTTGCGCCATTGGCTGAAAGAAGGACCAATGGCAAACGTCGATACTGACTTGTACTGTACTGTACTGACTCATTTTTCAAATTAAAAGCCAAATAATTATTTTTCTTCTTTCTCTTTTTTGTCTTTCTTTCTTTCTTTTTTTTTTTTACCGACAAACTTGTGAATAAACAGACACATAAATCCACCAGGTTGTAGTTAGAACGAAGTTTTTCTCTTGAGGATTAAAGATAAGATAAGATAAAACTTTATTAATCCCTCGGGTGGGTTCCTCTGGGAAATTCGGTTTCCAAAAGCACAGCACCGACAGAAGTTACAGAGTTACAGAATATAATATTTTATATATATATATATATATATATATATATATATTAATATATATATATATATATATATATATATATATATATATATATATATATATATATATATATACACACACACACACATATATATAAATAAAATATACGAAGGGGATAAATAGAATAAATAGGAATAAAAATAAAAATACAAGTGAATTGCACATTTCAAGTATCAAGTAAATCATCCCCTCACCATGAAAGGCAGGCAACATCTCTGTGGCCAAATATTTCCTGTCAGTTGCCATTAAAAGCACCTCTTCCTGTTTAATAAATTAGACTTGAGTATAATCAGATTCGGTGTTTGGATCATGCATATTCTGATTTCAGTATTTCTTTTGGCAACAGGTAAGCGTACACATCATCATTACAGAGAACTTGAAATCATATCTTAGAGCTTAAATATTTGTTTTTGTAGATTATTATAGTGCCTGTCTGAGCCACTAACGGAAGTAGATTAAACTATGCATCAGTGCCATTCGGTATATGATGAAGGAAAATTATCTTCTATCATTTAGAGGTACACAATTTCTTTTGCATAATTACATTTAGTGATATTATTATTATTTAAAACTGTGAGAAAGAATAAACATAAACTATCAACTTGTACTTTATCTTGTAATCTGTTTATGTGGGCTTTTAGAGTATTGTTATTGTATTACTTAGTACTGGCTATTACTAATATATCTTAGTACATGAGTATTAACAGGTCAGTATGAAACAGTATGGCTTAACAAAACAAAACAAAAAAAACATTCCTATTCAAATGAATATCTACAAGTACTGGAATGAAACTGAGTGAAAAACAACCAACATCAAGAGGAAAACTTTAGTGGAGCCCCAGAAAAAATTTAAAAATTATTTCCACACCTAAACAATGTCACTGTGCAGGTACCTGTGAGGCATTGTTTTGGCAGAAGCTGACATGTCCTTATGAAGTGAAGTACAAGAGCCTTCTGAGGGTTTGGTGTCAGCAGAACTCTGCCGAGTGCTGCACCGGCCTCACCTTCAGTCACAGTGAACGCTTGGTGGATGGAGGGAAACTGAAGGTGACCCAGGATGTGAGCTCCTTCACTGTGGAAGTGTTGGAGCCAAACCACAAACAAGGAGTGTACTGGTGTGGTTTGCTGAGCAGGAATGGCACCATCATCAAGCTGGCTGAAGGCTACATCCACAACTGTAAGCATAAGATGATATTTCAATGTTATGTGCATGTTAAGCTTTCATAATTTAAAAAATTACAAAAGGTGATGTTCTAATATGAGTATTTATGGGAGTCATAGTTTTCTATGATTGTAAGCCCAGTTAAGATTTGGGACTGTTGCTCAGCACTTTGTGTTAACTAGGATTTCTGGGATTAGTTCCTAATTTTGCACACCACAAATTTTGTTTGGTTAGATTAGCATAAATTAATAATAGGCCAGGTGGTAAACATAACTAGCCATATATTAATCTCTGGAGATGGTGGAGACCAAAGTGGAGTTAGTAACATAGTGTTTGTGTTGCAGTGTGTCAGCTGGATGTGCAAACAGATATTAAAACACTGACAAGTCAGTAGTTTCCCTGTTCTAGTGCCAAAAATGTGGATAAGCAAGTAAATGTCATTATAGTGCTCATGGGCTTCACAACATGTATACAAACCACATGCTTTTTCTGAAACCCCCTGCAGCTACTGCTTCATATATCTGGAGCTTAATTCGCTGGATTCTGCTCCCTCTGCTGCCCATAGTGACCACACTTACCCGCATGTACCTGAAAAGTAAGATATTTTTATACCTCACCACAACAGACACACAGTTATTGCACTGAAGCTAAAGTTAGAAAAATTGTGCTGTGTGACACAACTACATGAAGTATAAAACTTAGAAAACATCTATCTATCCATCCATCCTGTTCTCATTCCTTTCAGATTATAATTCAATTTTATTTATTCAGCACCAAATCACAACAACAGTGGCTTCAATGTGCTTTATATTGTAAGATAGACCCTACAATAATACATACAGAGAAAAACCCAACAATCACATGACCCCCTATGAGCAAGCACTTTGGCGACTGCAGGAAGGAAAAAAGTCGCCTTTAACAGGAAGAAACCTCCTGCAGAATCGGGCTCAGGGAGGGGCGGGCATCTGCCTTGACCAGTTGGGAAGAGGGAAGGAAGACAGGAGCACAACAACAACACAGCAATTTATTGGATTTTGAGAGTTAAAAGATTTATACATGTTAACTTTTAGTGGAGCTTAGAGCTGTTGATATATTAAAAACAAAGAAAACAAAAAGAACAGTTTTACAATATTATCATTCATGTATACATCATATTTTTAAGAATCACTTTAATTTTGGCACCTCTGCAAATTATGTGGGATGAGAGCTTTTAAAAGATGCAAATGTGTCTTAAATGCCTAAACGGGGCTGGGATAGGCTCCAGCACCCCCGCGACCCTGAAAAGGATAAGTGGAAGCGAATGGATGGATGGGGTGGATGTAAGTCAGAAGGAAGGTTGGTGGTTCTCTGGCTGTTACAGTCTGCATGCCAAAGCATCCTTGGGCAAGACACTAAACCACAAGTTACTTTCCAGTGTATGAATGTTAATGAAAGTACTCAGTTATAGAAAAAAAGTGCGTGTTAATATAAAGTGCTCAAGTAGAGAAACGCCATGTAAGAACCAGCAGTTACACTGATAATGTTCAGCACAAACATCTGTTTCTGGTGGTGGTCTTCTTATGTTTGGTTGATGTCATTAAAATGCTGTCTGAAGCAGGTAGGACCCAAAATGCAGCACTCCCAGGTGGAACTAAACTCAGAAACACAGCTTTATTGCTGGAATTACAGTAGACATTAATCTGGAGAATGGAGACAGCCAGCACAACGTGGAACGGAGGAGAACACAGGGAATATATACACAAGGGCTGTGTCCCAATTAAGAGACCGCACGCTTGGAATACGTGCAGTATGCATACTACGTACGGTGCGTACTATAAGTACGGGAAGTGCGGAAGTGAGAGGCTTGTGAAATGGTACGGTCTAGCCTTCGTCGTGCTGCTCAGGTTGCCTCGCAACCATGATACTAACCGCGAGAAACGTTTCATACAGCATTGTTTGACAGAAATGAAGGAGAAAAAGTGTTTTTTTGGTCATTAATTTTTTTCATGACATCACTTTGATCAGTTGAGTATCTGAGGCTGAGACCACAGGACTGTAAAACCTGATTGTTGGGCTTCATTTCTCTACTAAACAGTCATTTCAAGATTAGTTAGTAAATAACAATTAGCTAATGTTGTGCATGAGACTAAAATCATCTGACTGTGGTAATGTAAATATAATATGGCCAATATTATATTTATTGTCAGATTATTATGATATATATATATATTACAGGATATATTACAGCAGTGAGCTTGAACTCTGTGTCAAAGATTCAAGTTGCAGTTATTTATGTCCTATCACCTTAAATCTTCACTCAAAGACAAGTATCTCTGACAGTGTATATATAGATGTATTATATATAAGAGACAAATATTGTTTGTTTAATATGTTGGCATTATTACATTTGGCTCAATGCTTACATATATGTGTAAAAAGAAAATGTACGAGCTGTGATAACTGTTTCTGATAGAATGAAGAGTAGGCTGATATATTAAATATCCCTTTATTGGGTGAGAAAATCAGACCATGTCATAACTGCTTTAGGTCATACAGAATAGATATCAGAGCCTTAAACAGGCTGGCTTCTGCTAAATGGGTCAAACTGGGCAGAAAGTATACAAACACATAACATCCTTATAGAATACCTCAGAATATATAAAGCATATAAACAATTACAGCAATATGATGCAACAAACACAGCAGTGCTACAAAATACTCAAAGCTTCATAGAACTGAAACAAACATTTATTTTTAGCTCCATTCTGCTGCTGATACATACTTTAGGTTTCTGAACATTAAACTTGTTGCTGCCTTTCATAGTGTTCAACTTGAAGGCCCTGAGTACTTTCTCCCACACTGAAAACACTGGAATGATAAAATTATTTGAACATTACCTAATAAGACTGATTCAGGACTGACAATTAGTTATTTTAAACTTTCCTAGCAGTCCTTCACAAACAGGGAACAGTCTGTCTATTCTCTCCATCTGTCACCTGCTGCTGGCTCTTCCTCCTCCTCTTCCTCACACACTGCTGAGTTTGTCCTGGTGGCTCATCAGGGGTGCAAAGCCTCACAGATGATGTGCAGCAGTGGGTCCCTCAGTCTGTCCTCACTCTGGACACTTGCAGTTGTCACACATGGAAATCAAATGTGTGATAAGCTGCAGGATTCAAACACAAGTGTAACTTATAAATACATGTTCATACTTTTATTCCACAATCAGAGAGAAAGAAAAGGGGAGAGAGTGCAGGACAGACAGACAGGTGACAGTCTCAGGTGTATACACTACAAAACAGCACCAGAGAAGGACGATTTAGTGTTTGTGTTATTACGAAACAAGAAGAGTTCCCAGATGGTGCAGTGGACACATGTGTGACTCCTGTGATTAAAGCATCTTTCTTTCAGCTTAACGAGTGAACCGTCAGCTCGTTCAAACACACGTTAAAGTCCGTTTGGCTCGACACCACCGAACAGAGGCAGCAATATAACATAGCTAACATTAACAGTGCAGTGAATCC